CGCTCTCTCTCTCTCTCTCTCTCTCATACACACATACAGTTCTTTATTCCTCATTTTTCACCTTTTCCTTCCTTCCTCATTCCCTCTCATACTTCTCTCCTGCTTTGCTCATTCCTCCCCTCTCACACTTCCCTTACTCCTCCTTTCTCATCCTTCCCTCTCACTCCATCCCTCTTTTCATTTCCCCCACTTCTCTCCTCTCATACGTCCCTCTCACTTCTCTCCTCTCATACGTCCCTCTCACTCCTCTCCTCTCACCCTCCTCTTTCACACTTCCCTCTCACTCTTCCCCTCTCACACTCCCCTTCTCTCCCGTCTCACTAGACTATAATGGACAATAATTTACTTAATGACACACTTAATTAAACGAGAGAACGAGATTAACACGAGACACCTTTGTTTATCATGCTGGCTGAGGTAAACAAAGGCGGTTTCACTTGGGGGTTCATATTATGGTACCAGAAGGTTCATTTGGGTTCATGTTAAGGTACCAGAGGGTTCATTTGGGTTCATGTTAAGGTACCAGAGGGTTCATTTGGGTTCACGTTAAGGTACCAGAGGGTTCATTTGGGTTCACGTTAAGGTACCAGAGGGTTCATTTGGGTTCACGTTAAGGTACCAGAGGGTTCATTTGGGTTCACGTTAAGGTACCAGAGGGTTCATTTGGGTTCACGTTAAGGTACCAGAGGGTTCATTTGGGTTCACGTTAAGGTACCAGAGGGTTCATTTGGGTTCACGTTAAGGTACCAGTGGATTTATTTGGGGTTCACATCAAGGTAACAGAGTAGACAGGTGGAGAGGCCGCCCCTCAGTTGAGCCACATCTGTGATAACTAGTGTCCTCTGTCACTTAATGCCCGCTAATTGTGTACTATTTAGGTGTAATTATTTGTACAAACGAGAGGAGAATATACACTTCCATACCAACTGCCTATGAGAGAAACTTCAGTTATCATCACTAAGGCCATCAGTACCATGATCACAAAATGATAAAGTTCAAAGTTGCGTCGATCAAACCTTGTCTTTGGTATTTACAACTTGCAATAATGAACAATTGATAATAATGTTCCTGTGTTGTATTATTAAGAGTACGATATAATAAAACCTGGAATACATCGGTACGAAACACTGAATTAATGTTGGAAATAAAGTAGATAAGGTTGTGGTTATATTGCAACAATATCTTGCTCTTGTTAGACTCTATCTTGATAATGTTGTTCAGTTTCATTGATCAACTTTTTGAATGGATACGGATCCTGTTGAGTCAATACTGAGAAGAATAAGTGAGATATTTCTGGGTCTTAAAAACCTCCCATTTGAATATAGACAAAAACTTAAATTGAATTCCCCGGAAAGATGGAGAGAGAGCGTGATGGCGGAGATAGAGCGACCTGCTTTGCACTATACAGTTCACCTGCTTCCTAGAGACTATAAAACCATTGACAGCGCTACCAGAGGCTGACACAAACTACTAACCATTATAAAATATTTTCAAAACTAATAAATATGAATATAGGTATAAACATTCTTCATACTTTTACACTACATTTTGCAGTAACGATTCCGTAAATAATGCAAACAGCAAATACATCTCTACGCCCTGGTACAGTGTTGTATATTGAATTAGCACTCCCCCTCCCTCTCTCTCCCTCCAACACAGAGAGTTGTATCTCTTACAATGTTTTACTGTTGTTGGACTTGTGTATTACAAATACTGCGAGGCACTTAAAAACCTTCGTCGTTGAAGCGCAGTAATAACATCATAACAACAACTCTCGCTTTCTCCTCTCTCTGCCGTTCTTTTCCCTCTCTTCTTCTTCTCCCTCTCCCCTTCTTCTCCCTCTCCCCTTCTTCTCCCTCTCCCATTCCCTCTCCCCTTCTCCCTCTCCCCATCTTCTCCCTCTCCCCTTCTAAATTAACAATAACACCCGACATAAAAACACACCACAACATAGGAGTAAGGCCCGACATATAATTAGAACGATACCAGACTAAAAATAATGATTCACAATACAAATACTGTACTTTTGGAGAGCTGAGGATAGGTTGGTTGCTCAGGTTCCAGGTTCACAAGTGACCCCTGTAGGGGCTCCGCACGTCTGGCCTCTGGACGATGCGAAATTCAGGTACAGACTGGCTGCTAAACCAGCCGGTTTTCCTTATACAGGTAAAGGCCTAAACACCGGCAGGAGAACGGAGTTCCAGGTGTGACAAGTTCGGGTATAGTCACGTGATCCTTGTTTTGCTAAAACCGTAGACTTCAACCCTGTAATTCGGGCGACAATCGTGTGGCTCGTTAAGCTTGTTGAGGAAGACGAGCTCACAGAGACGGACGTCTTTACACAGTATATTGGATGGGCCGTCCTTACAGGAGGTAACACCAATCACCAACTTGTTTACTTCATCTTCACAGCATTGTTGTTTCTTTCAACAGTGACAGTGTTACCATAAATGTTTGTGAGTCTGTGAGAGTTTACCGAACCCTTCCTCGAGTAATTATGTCGGATATTTATTAATGTGAAGGATGGGTTTTAATGTTAATGCACCACAAATCGAACCAGCTTTAGTTGTTGGTCAGTTAACGTTAGCAAAGTTGTGGTCAAGCAAGATTATTTAAGGTATTTCTGTTATAATCTCTTCAGTAATCTCTACACGATATTAATTTCGAAGAGTGTAAGACAGTTGAGTGCTATTGTAACTTACTGGCCCATGCAATGAGTGTTGTGTTGTGTTGTGTTGTGTTGTGTTGTGTTGTGTTGTGTTGTCCTCTCGGTGTGTGATGATTCTGGAGGCGTTTGATTTTACCCTCAAGATTAAAATAGTGTATTTTTTTCTATTTTTTTTAACCACTAAGCTCAGCGTCTTGTGCCTCCGGAGCATTCAAGATATTTGGGAGCAAACATCTTTGTTCACAGACCATTGTGAGATGATAATTATGAGCCTGTGGTGATGACAGCAGCCTTAATACACAATGAGGAAGAAGAATTCAAGGAAGGTGATTTTTCTTTAAACCTTCTTTTAACCTCTGACCTACCTAAATGTACTAATTATATTCATGTAACATATTAGAAATGTCTAGCCAACAGTTTAATATTTATTCAGAACTTCTAAGGAAATTTTAGTGAAATCTCTATGTAAGATGATAACTAGAAACTCCTCTCAAGAACAAAGTCGTGTGTTCAGTGAATTTAAGTATCAAGGCAGTATTAGTCAGTAATTCTCAGATATCAGGTATGGGGAGGATACTTCAACATGCAGTCGTGCAGTAACAGTCAATTGTTTATAATTAATCTTAATACATCAACTTGATAGGCCGGGTCATGACAAGTCGCCAGTCCTACGCCAGGTAAAGTCAGATGCACAAGAATATAAAGAAGTAAATGGTAAAATAGACACAATAATAAGAGCAATGTGATGGTCGTTGTATAATGGTGCTCATAAAAGTACGTAAGTAAGGCTCTCGGATCTGGTATCACTAATAAATGGGGGATGTAATGACAAAGGTTCACTGGCAAGAGTACGTAAGTCACACGAGCACATAATGGGCCCTCATCGCGGGAAAATCGTGGGTTTGTGACGCCACACTTCATATACGCGAAGTTGATTGGCTGATACGTACGTAATGCCCTCTCTTGCTTGAACCGATAATGTAGGGGAGAGAGAGGAAGAAGATATGTCTGGGTTACTGGCCCCCGTGTGTCCACAATGTCTTTCCTAGCAACATATGATAGCCAGAGATGACATTCAGAATGAAATACTTAAGAAAGCTGACATCATTACTGGCGTCAGCGGGGTCACCTAAGTAGTGTAATTAGTGGCGTCTGCATGAGTGTCTGTTATGTTTACAATGCAGTAAAATACGGAAATGGCTAGTGTTCATACCTGGTTACATGTACCCACCATTATAACACATATGGCCACGATATTTTAAGAGTTAAGAATGAAGAACAAGTAGTGGCAGGTTCAAACTGGATAATCATTTGTATGTACGTCCCACGGCACCTAGAAACGAAGGTGAGATGCGATATACAATTAAGATCCCAACTTAGGACAAGCACCATCAGGATTGCAGCCAAGGTATAGTAGCGAAATAGTTTAAATGACTTTGTTAAATCTACGCATCAATAGACCAAAGTTGTGCAATGACTTCCAGACACTGAATGTACCTGTTAAAAGGAACAATACCTCTGGATAAACAAAAGATTTACAAAACCTAACAGGAGACGTACCGTTTGTGGCCTCGTGGGAGTAAATGACTGTTACTCAATGATTAAATATTCCACACACTTTATGAGAACTAATCGAAATAGATTTTAAGTGATTTGTTTTGCATTTTTCATTTTTTCCAGGATTATTAGTAAAAGGTATATCTGAGAGTAAGAGGTTTAATATGCTGAGCGAGGCGTGACCTTAGTGAAAGGGGTCTGGCAACCACCCGAGGCCCCAGAAGGTGTGTTTTATACGACACTAACACTGTACAGGGAATCTAATTTAGTTTTTTCCCGACACGAGAGAGTGACCTAAATACGTAAACGTTTTCTTCACCTCCCACCACCCACTGTCGTGATCCCTCTCAAGTTTAATAAACATCATGTTGCCCTCAAATTATTCAATCATTCGGCAGTGTTTTTAAGAGTTAGATTTATCACCATTATCTGCAGGTGGGTGATTGTTGAAATCTCTTCATTAGTAGAAGATTGAAGAGCGTAAAGGTTGATAAATTATATAACAGAAGCTCTGTTGATCACATCACACCTACATTAATACCTCAGCGCCCTGGAGTTACGACGGTGTACTGTAAATGTAACATGGCGATATTCGGGAAACATCTTTAAAATTAGCTATATCTATACAGTAGTCACATAATTACGTATACAATACTGTAGTTTGGACGAGGTGGTTCGATAAAAGACAAGACTTACGGCCAACATTAACATGCATTTCAGTGTATTCCGCCATTTGTTGTGGACGGTGTACAGCAACTCCTTCCTCGGTGTATTGATGGTGTCCACGGAGAACCAGCCTCAGCACACTGCCCACGGAGAACCAGCCTCAGCACACTGCCCACGGTGAACCAGCCTCAGCACACTGCCCACGGAGAACCAGCCTCAGCACACTGCCCACGGTGAACCAGCCTCAGCACACTGCCCACGGTGAACCAGCCTCAGCACACTGCCCACGGTGAACCAGCCTCAGCACACTGCCCACGGAGAACCAGCCTCAGCACACTGCCCACGGAGAACCAGCCTCAGCACACTGCCCACGGAGAACCAGCCCAGCACACTGCCCAGAACCAGCCTCAGCACACTGCCCACGGTGAACCAGCCCAGCACACTGCCCACGGAGAACCAGCCTCAGCACACTGCCCACGGTGAACCAGCCTCAGCACTGCCCACGGTGAACCAGCCTCAGCACACTGCCCACGGAGAACCAGCCTCAGCACACTGCCCACGGTGAACCAGCCCCAGCACACTGCCCACGGTGAACCAGCCTCAGCACACTGCCCACGGTGAACCAGCCTCAGCACACTGCCCACGGTGAACCAGCCTCAGCACACTGCCCACGGTGAACCAGCCTCAGCACACTGCCCACGGAGAACCAGCCTCAGCACACTGCCCACGGTGAACCAGCCTCAGCACACTGCCCACGGAGAACCAGCCTCAGCACACTGCCCACGGAGAACCAGCCCCAGCACACTGCCCACGGTGAACCAGCCTCAGCACACTGCCCACGGTCAGCACACTGCCCACGGTGAACCAGCCTCAGCACACTGCCCACGGAGAACCAGCCTCAGCACACTGAACCAGCCTCAGCACACTGCCCACGGAGAACCAGCCTCAGCACACTGCCCACGGAGAACCAGCCTCAGCACACTGCCCACGGTGAACCAACCTCAGCACACTGCCCACGGTGAACCAACCTCAGCACACTGCCCATTTACATGTTTAACTTCACACTCCAAATTTTGGATGAAGTCTTAGAACCAGGAAGTTTCTGACAGTAAAATTTAGTATAGATAAATTAAGACGAAATTGATCTGTGGATCTGGATATGCATACCCAAACCGCAAGTATGGTTAAGATAGTTTAGTTTAGCTTAGGTTTGGCCTTCAGGTCGGGGTCCGAAAATTATTAATACTTAAATGATCAGTGGAAATTATAGTTTCTTGGGTGTCACATAAAATAACCTTTACTACCTCCAGTACTTGATGTGGGCGGCAAGTTGGATTTTTATTTTGTGTAGAATGACCTGAGTATTAGTAGTATTTTTATTTCAGTAGTCGTGTACATATAAAAATTTGAAAATTTACTTTTCATATTTACATTATTAATGGAAAACTACAAGACATCGGGATGGGTGTCAAGTCACGTTATTTAAGTCTGACGTCACGACAGGCAAACAACAATAGCAAACACTTGTCATGCACACATGAACGTCGGTCGAACACTCAAGATGGCCGAATATACCAAGGCTTTCTCACCTGAAATTTCGTCGAGTTTGTTGTTTACTGTTATTTAGAAGCCGGATATCTAAGACGTCATTAGTTACAGCTGGAAGGCGCTAAGTATCCGCACCGCAGTTAACAGCCCATGGCGAGATCGATGTAGTTCTTCCTTGGTGGCGACAGTTGCTGCCGTGAAGTGACGCCATGGTTGACCCGAACAGAGATTTATGAGTCAGTGACTCAATGGGTGGGGAACACGCTATCACAGCTGATTTGTTTAGAACCACGGGAGTCGTTTCTATGGAAAAGTAGCACCACACCTTACAACTAATATAATGATAACAGCAATCGTGATACTAATGAGTAAGACGATATTTCAGTACTAATAGGAGTGAAAATTAATAATACTGTACTCTAATAACAATAATGATAATAGTTATATAATAATGATGTATATAGTAAAAATCTAGTATATAAATCTGCGACCTTCATTATTGAGGCGTCAACAGTAAAACTTGATTAAGAAGTATCATTTGACTTCTCTTCACTTGCTCAAATATCAGTTAATATCATATGCAAGAAGTATTAAAGAAAGTCGTTGGCCTCAACTTTGAGGAACAATGTTAATGTTATGATCATGAGAACAAATAGGAGACCGCAGGGTTATGAGGTCTTGTACTGAATTTTGATCTTGTACAGTACATTTCCCAGCATTAAACTGGTACTGTACATTGTTGTCAGTGTACATACAACAAATAGTGCCGGTTGCTAACGATGAATGGCGGAATTTGATTGGCTGATTCGATAACCATACGCATCACAAATTCAAAACAAACAGGGCGAGGGTGAGTGAGATATACAATTTGTGATGGAAATATAACGTGTCTTGGTCGCTGTAAACACAAACTAACACCACAGTCTATCGTCTACAAGAGAAGACATACCTGTATACAGTATCTGGTAATGAAGATCCGATGGGTTACGAGATGTAGTGACGTCAACCCTATAGTTTCTCTCTTACCTTCGCCATCTTTATTGTAAGGTGAGATGCGTCTTTCGTTGGTTAGTGAATCAGTCAATCAGAAACACGTCGTTCGTCTTTGGCTACCTGTTGTCTTTACACAGTCAACAGGGAGCCAGTCTAGCCGGTGGTAGGCCTTGTCCTCCCGGGTGCATCAGCTGAGCCATACTGTACTGTACTGCCGTGGCTTGTATTTGATGTATATCTGTGATTCTTCTCTCCCCTTATTCTCTCTTCATTCTTTCCTTCCTCCCCCATCTTTTTCATTTTTATCTCTCTCCTCTCGCTCCTTTCTTTTTGTCTTTTCCTTCATCCCTCTCTCTTGACCTGCTTGATGGTATGTGAAGCATTCATAAAATCTCTCACACCGACATCGACATAAATATTTGAGAGAGAGAGAGAGCTGGGAATTCCACTTTCTGTGATGGAAATCACGACCCAGCGAGATGGAGAGGTTGGGTGGTTGGTACGATTGGGAGAGGAGCTGGAAGGAGAAGGAGGGAGTGACACGGCTGGGAATGGGTGTGAGAGGAGAGAGTGGGATGGATGGAGGGAGGGGAGGGAGAGAGGTAGGGAGGAGGGGAGGGGAAAGTTGAGTTGGTTAGAAGGGAAGAGGAGAGGGAGTGTCAAGTGGAGGGAAGGAAGCTGGGATGAGAAGGGAGACAAGGAAGTCGAGGAAAGTAATATGACGAGCTAAAACCAATGAAGATGGAAGTACTAAACAAAAAGAAACGAAGAAGAATTGTGATAAACATAGAGGCGCAGAACAGCTGACCGATTGCTTCACAAAGAACTAAAAAATTACCTCCATTACACTTTTATAACTTAATATTCCAATACAAAGTCCACCCACTCACGGATAAACAAAGGCGCTCTCAAATTCACTCAACAAGTCATTATTTAAATCGGGGCGGAGGAGCAGTTTCCCGCCATCGACCGCCGGCTGACTGTTGGCGTGCTTTCCGTAGAACAAAAGCGCTGGAAGACTGGTTGGTGGCGGGCCGCTGCTGCTGCCGGTCTCTAGTGGTGTATGCACTGCTTTATGGCCCCTGTAGTGCGCCCTGGGGGGTAGTGCCACGCTGCTCATACACTCAATAGCAGCTGGAGTTTTTCACCCATCATCCATCAAAGGGGATGAGTGTAAAGGGGTAACTGATGCAGGGTGGTCTATAGGATGGCGCGCCTTCCTATACCAGCATCGTACATCCACAAGTATCTCTCTGTCATGACGAAATACACACAAGGAAATACACCTCAGAGGAATGTATAATTAATTTCTAGATTCCCCCTTTAAATATCTTCTGACTGGTTACACCTATCACAACGCGCTCCTTGTATTACTGACGTACAGAGATAGTTTTCTCTCTGAATATTTGTTTCCCAACTAAGAACAGTATGTGAGAATTGTTTAGTATTTTGTAAGGAAGTGGCTGTTGATCCAGGTTCGGCTCTCGGTTTCTGCTAAAGATGGATATACAGAGGTTACATATAATGAATCTCCCTTGGGATGTACGAGTTTGACTTAGTTTATAAAGGAAGTATGCGCCCTCGTACAGTGACCCGCAGCGTTCAACATATAACAGTGAAGAAATGGACAATACGATTTATACTAATGAGTTTACGTTTAAACCTCAATGGGAAGGTTCCTGGTCAACAAGGAGAATTATGAAAACTACGACGTTTAATATTTGTAAGAGAAGACACTAAGACACCTAACCATATTAAACCGTGTGTCAGATAAGTTAGGGTAGATTGATTACATTAGCTCTGATCTTCTCGTGACCGTCATCCATCTCTATCAATAGGTTCAGATGCATAAGATTTGGTTGACTGGTGTTTGTTGGCTAGAACAACCAAACAACCTAATCAAAGCTGTTCTAACCTATGATCGTCAGGCTAGGTTGAACAGGTAGATACATACATACATACATACATACATACATACATACATACATACAAAACTTAACCTAACCTAACTTTTGCATGCGCACATACATTATAAGCACGTGGTTTATATATGTACAGTTACCAAGCCATACATGATAGGTACACACACGGCTAAGGTATAACTTCCATACACATACAACACCTGCACGCGAACATACACACACCTTGTATATAGTATATGTGCACATCTTGAATATCCACGTACGAACATACACTTCCACTCACGTGTACACATCTGACACATACACACTCACATCCAACAAGCACATCTCATACCAGACAAATATGCACACACGTCATGCATATGTGTGTGTATGTGTATGTGTGTGTGTGTGATCCTGACGGCATACTCACGCAAGCACAGCACACGCATCACCCGACCACCATCCATCTTCCTCAAGCACATGCACACAGGTACTCAGCGTGTGTACACTTGACATGTACGACCATATTCACATTACTGTACAAACACGCACACAAGGGAGCTCACACACATACACACACACACACACATATACATACATACATACATACATACATACATACATACATACATACATACATACATACATACATACATACATATACAAGCAGAAGTAACATAGGGGGTAAGAGAGGGTATCGAAAGTGCATGTTGAGGTGGTGTGAATTGCGTGACACCAGCCAGCCACCGTCACCTCACACACACACACACACACACACACACACACCTTATCCTCATTTATTAAAATTGGTTAGGTTAAGTTAGGTTAAGTTAGGTTAGGTTAGGTTAGAGAGTAGCGGCACACTTAGGCATTTTATTCTGACTAACGGAAGACGATTTTATTCAGCTGAGAGAAACCCCTCCTACCCTACGATAAGAGAAGCCTCACTACGATAAGAGGAACCTTGCTACGATAAGAGGAGCATCACTACGATAAGAGGAGCATCACTACGATAAGAGAAGCCTCACTACGATAAGAGGAACCTTGCTACGGTAAGAGGAGCATCACTACGATAAGAGGAACCTTGCTACGATAAGAGGAGCATCACTATGATAAGAGGAGCCTCACTACGATAAGAGAAGCCTCACTACGATAAGAGGAGCCTCACTACGATAAGAGGAACCTTCCTACGATAAGAGGAGCCTCGCTACGATAAGAGGAACCTTGCTACGATAAGAGGAGCATCACTACGATAAGAGGAGCATCACTACGATAAGAGGAACCTTCCTACGATAAGAGGAGCCTCGCTACGATAAGAGGAACCTCACTATGATAAGAGGAGCCTCACTACGATAAGAGGAGCCTCACTACGATAAGAGGAGCCTCACTACGATAAGAGGAGCATCACTTCGATAAGAGGAGCCTCACTACGATAAGAGGAGCCTCACTACGATAAGAGGAACCTTGCTACGATAAGAGGAGCCTCACTATGGGCTCCAGACTCAACAATAAGCACTTTCGGTACTTACTCGCGTTAGCATAAGACTTTGGCAAGATCATTGGTTTTTCTGATGTTTTTACGCAGAATTTGGTGTGAATCTGACCTTCATTTCTTGTGGTTTACAGGTTGGGGCAGGTTGTGGTTTACAGGTTGGGGTAGGTTGTGGTCTATAGGATGGGGCAGGTTGTGGTTTACAGGATGGGGGAGGTTGTGATTTACAGGATGGGGAGGTTGTGGTTTACAGGTTGGGGGAGGTTGTGGTTTACAGGTTGGGGGAGGTTGTGGTTTACAGGTTGGGGCAGGTTGTAAAAGAAAGTTGTAAACAAATGAGCGTTGGAGTGTGAGTGTTGAGGGTGAAGTGTAAGTGTAAGTGTTAGTGTAAAGTATTAGTCGTCTTCCTCCACAACTTCTGGTAAGAGTTGTACAGTGCCATCCATGACTCGGGTCAATAAATACGAATGAGTCGCAGAATGGATGGTTGTGGTGGAGGGAGGGGAGGGGTGCTTCTCTCCCCTTCATCCTCCTCTCCCCTCTCCCCCTCCACCCACCTCCTCCCACCGTATCAGTGAGCCCTCCTCGTCGAGCCGAGACCTATTCAGTGTGGTTATGACCGCCGACGGGAAGAGACCCTGTAGCTCCCGCTCCCCTCACTCGCGCTCTCTCTCGCTCCCCTCACTCTCCCACCGTGCCTTCACCTTCTCCACGCCTCCTCTGCTCCCCTCTCACTCTACGGCACAGCTACCCCTCTTTCTCTCCACCCAAGGGGAGAGTTCCGCGACCGAGTAAGGGGAAATAAACAGTGAATTTAAGAGGTGGTAGTGAAGGCGTGGGAGGTGAGCTAGCAGAGGCCTGGTAGCAGCGTCTGGGGGCCTCACCACCATCAATCTTGTTGTTGTCGAATTGTGACACTCAACCTCCAGCCTCCCCTGTGCCTCCTGCCCGCATTATCCCGTTTAATAATTCGTGGCAGAATACTGGAACGCTATATTGATGTGTGTCGCGACCAGCAGACGGTGTGTGTATCACTGGTGAGTGTAGAGGGAGGGTGTAGTATACAGAACACTCCAAGAAACTGTGGTCAGGCGGTGGTTGGTGGACCTTCGCCACAGCAACCATCTGACACCAGGAGCCAGCGTGGGCCTACCCGACAGTGGGGTGATCGCCGACAGAGGAGACTCGACGGAGGTCTCCAGAGGGGGGAGATCAGGTGACGCCAGGAGACGACGTGAGTGAACAATGATGCAAGAAGAAAAGGCGTGGTGACCACCCGCAGATGGTCGAGGAGATGAAGATGTTGACGGGCGTGAAGTGGGCGGCGGTGCGATGTATAGGTGAGTACTGCCTACCTGCTATTACATACCTGCGTCATATAACTGGCTCACACACCTGTCTTGCACATCTGATTCACACACCTGTCTTGCACATCTGGTTCACACACCTGTCTTGCACATCTGGTTCAAACACCTGTCTCACTGTAAACATGGTGGTAGTAGTGCACGGGTCAGGTACAGGTTACGAGGTGTGAACTTTAACGTGTGTGGTGATTGACTCCTGGTGCTCATTAGTTAATTTACCAACGACATTTGCAACTGTTTACTGTATATGACTCACACACACACACACACACACACACAACCACACACACACACACACACACACACACCGGGAATCATAATAAAGATTTCTGAAAAAAAAGTAGAGGAATTTAATCAATAAAATAAACTACCAGTTACAGTACAGTACTATCTCAATGTACGGTTACACATACTGTATTTAGTATCTGAAGTAATACTGTTACTTTTTGATGTCATTATCGTAATATATAAGTTTCTGGAACCTTTCATTTATTACATTATATAACTGGACGTATATATTTTTGTTATAATTTTACGCGGGGTCAAATTATATCATCTTCATTAAATTTAAATAAACGTCTCTTATAATTTCGTCTTCTTGATGGACACCAACTGCTTGAAATTTTAATTCGATTATGGGTCGTGTTGAGGCGACGTTAAGGGGGGGAGGAGTATTGTAAACTCGGGCTGTAAACCCAGGTACACGGGGCAGTAACACACCACGGCAACGACTCCTCAACATGCTCACGTGAAGGCCAGCGCTGACAGCCACAGGGTAGGAGGGATGGACGGAGTGGAGGAGGAAAGGAGGTAGCGAAGGAAGAACGGATTGAAGAGAGGGAGGGGCGGGATAAAGGAGGGAAAGAGGGACAATGAAGGAGGGAATGAAGGAAGGGTGGGTTTAAAGGGAGGACGGGACAGACTGAAGGAGGGAGGGAGAGAGAATAATGGAAGGATGGGGTGAAGGAAGGAGGGAGGGTAGGGAATGGGAGACACAGAGGAATAGACAAATACACACAGACAGATAAAGAAAGCGTCAATGGCAAGGAAAGGGATAAAACTAAAGAGAGAATAAAAGTAACGAAAACACAGAAGAGAAACAGATGAGTGAGGAGAAAAGAGAGAGAGAGAGAGAGAGAGAGAGAGAGGTGCCATTGTAGACAGTAAGTGTGGGAGGGGGTCAAGTTCACCTCACACATCAGTTTAACCTAAATCCATTTTCCTTACTGAATTTTCTAAAGTTTTATATTTTTATACTAATTTAATTTCTTGGTGACTGTAAAGGCATTTGTCTCATTATTAGGTTATTACACTACTGAGTCCTTTAATTATATTCTTTATTTACATTTATTAAAAAAAGTTGGAAGATGAGATTTACTTTTTTTTTATGTCATGCGGCAGGGAAAATAATCCTGCTTGGTGATTGAATTGTTGATGATATTATACCTGTCATGTCTCTATGGTATTACAGGTGGCTCTCTCTCTCTCTCTCCTCGTCTTCATTCAAGGCATCTTTTCTCTTATAGCACCTCTCTCCTTCTTCTCTCATGGCATCGATGGCGCTAGAAACAAAATTCTCAAAACATCGTAAATAAGGAATACCCGTCATAAATTCTTCCTCTTCAATAATAATCAGAGTATCAGGCAGACAAATTATCATAAATTACATAACATGAACGATGGTACCAACTAACATCACTTTATCTTGAAATAAATTAAGATAATGTTAAGATAATGAGGAATAATGACCCTCTTTTGTTTACCTATTATGTGACCCGTCTCTATGATCTGACCCCCTCATCATCACGCGAGGTCATTTGTTTTCCCTCCCCTGACCAAAGTTGACAGGCTGTACTATCGTCTAATGGTTCCCAATGGTGTTATAAAGCACCATTAAGTAGCCATTATGTCTTTTAAGTAATATTTATCATTTTATATTCATGATAAAGTATTAATAATCTTAACTAATGGTGCTTCTCAAATAACATAGAATACTCTGCTAAATAAGTGACAACAAGTGGTTCGCCCTTAAGTGGAATAAACACCATTAAACGCCATTAAACACCATTAACTAATTGTCTCACCAACTTAACCTACGTGACAAATGGCACTTCTCAGTTAATGGTCCCTCTCAGGTGTTATATGGCACTATTAACCTAACTATCACCCTTCATCAGGTGTCAAAGAACATCAGCAACAATTATTCTCTCTCTTTCTTCTCTCTTCCCCCCTCCCCTGAGTGTCAAGCGGTAGTATCAGGTAGAGTATGGGTCGTGCACATTATCGTAAAACTTGATGTTATGAGCGTGAGGGTCGAGGAGGGGAGGGGTAAGGAGGGGGGGGGAGGGTTAGCAGGAGGGAGGGTGATAATGGGGGAGAGGAGGTGATGGGTAGTAGGAAGGGGGAGGGAAGAGGGTAGTAACAAGGGGAGGAAGGGAGGTTGGTTAGAAGAGGGTGGGAGGAAGAGGGGAGTAAGAAGGGGAAGGGGTTAATTCTTTTAATTCTCAGTTCAGCTCATTGATTTAAAATTCAAAGTACCACCTTCCATATTGGGTATTTTTAATTTTACATTTATAATTCCAAGTTTCGACATATATAATTTAATCTCCAAGTTTTTAATTCCATTTTGAAAGCAATAATTTCTTTGAATTATACTCTATCTTCTGAGATCTGTATTCTTTAAATTCTGAATCTTATATTTTTAAATTCTAATTCTCAAATCTTAATTCTGAATTCTTGGTTATGAGGTCTGCATCCCCAGTTCAAGAATCATATGGTAATTTCTGAACTTCCAAGTCTGTTTTCTGAATTCCGTGATCTATATTTTAAGTTCCGAAGTCATTATTCTAAGTTTCGAGATTTAAATTTTAAAATCAAGATCTACATTCTAAATTCCGAGGTCTTTAGTCTAAATTAAGAAGTCAATATTCTAAATTCTGATATTTTACATTCTGGATACCTTAAATTCAGACTCTGAGACGCTGACCCAAGCTACCACCTAATATATAAAATTATATTAAATTATACTGAGAGGATCAACACAATTATATATGCAATACAAACACTAATAATTATATAAAACAACACCCTGACAAATATTCATAGTTGAAGAAATTTTTTTTGAAATTAATATTAAATCTGTTTAGTCTTTAGTAGGGTTGATATGCAAATGTTTTAGCAACGAGTTTATAAAGGGAAAGTTCTGAATTTAACAGGTGTATTAGTGAGTGAGAATAGATGTAAGGTTTGAAGGAGAGGGAGAAGGAGATAGGAAGGAGGAGAAGGATGTGTGAGAAGAGAGGAAGAGAAGAGAGAAAAGGGGAAAGATATGGGTACTAGAGAAGGGAGGAAATGGAAGAATGAGATGAAGAAGAGTAAGGATAGAGTGTAGGAGGATAAGATGAGATGATAAAGAGGAGGAAGTAAGAAAGGAGGAGGAGAAGGAAAATAGGATAATTGATAGGGAAGAGGGAAGATGAATAAAGACGGAGGAAGGACGAGCATGGGAAGGAGAGGTATAAGGGGTCACAACAGGTGGTGAGGTCACAGGTGGTGGAGGTCATAGGTGTGGTCAAAGGTGGTGGAGGTCCAGGTGGTGGAGGTCTAGGTGAGGGGGTCACAGGTAGGAGGTCACAGGTAGCGGAGGTCACAGGTGGTAGAGGTCACAGGTGGGAGACGAGGTGGCAGGAGTCACAGGTAGGAACTCGGTAGAGGTCACAGGTAGAGATCACAGGTGGTGGAGGTCACAGGTAGTAGAGGTCACAGGGTCACAGGCGGAGGTCACAGGTGGTGGGAGGTAGCGGAGGCCAGGTGGTGGGAGGTAGAGGTCACAGGTTGGGAGGTTGCAGATGAGGCTGTGGTGGTGGTGGAGGTCACAAGTAGTGAGTCTGGGTGGTAGAGGTCACAGGTGGTGGAGATCACAGGTGGTGGAGGTCAGGTAGGAGGTTGAAGAGAGGTCACAGGTGGTGGAGGTCCAGGTGATAGAGGTCACAGGTAGCAGGTCACAGGTGGTGGGAGGTCCAGGTGGGTCGCGGTAAGGTCACAGGTGGTAGAGGTCAGGTGGTGGAGGTCACAGGTGTGGAGGTTACAGGTGGTAGAGGTTACAGGTGGTAGAGGTCACAGGTGGGGAGGTCAGGTGGTAGAGGTCACAGGTGGAGGTCCCAGGTGGAGGTCACAGGTAGAGGTCACAGGTAGAGGGCCACAGGTGGTAGAGATCTGGTGGTGGAGGTCATGGTGGAGTGATGGGTCATACCTACACCCAAGACCAATAACAGGCATCGCCAGCACTAGCAGTCAACAACGCCTGGCATTCCTTCCACCTAACAATGATAACGTGACAAAGACATACCAACCACGAGCGAAGGTACGCCAGCCTTTCTTTGCTCGTTAGCTCTTCTTGGGTTACGGACGAAAGAGATATATGAATATCAATTACAAACGACCCCTTCCACTCCACCCTCCTCCCCTCCTCCCCTCCACCCCCTCCTCCCTCCACCCCCCCCTCTCCCCTCCCCTTCCACCTCTCCTCCCCTCCACCCCCTCCACTCCCCCTCCTCCCTCCCTCCACCCCTCCTCCTCCCTCCACCCCTCTCCTCCCTCCTCCACCCCCCTCGTCCCTCCCCCTCCACCCTCCTCCCTCCCCTCCACACCCCCTCCTCCCTCCCCCCTCCACCCTCCCTCCCCCTCCCCTCCACCCCTCCTCCCTCCACCCCCTCCTCCCTCCACCCCTCCTCCCTTCCCTCCACCCCCTCCCTCCCCTCCACCCTCCCTCCCCTCCCCCCCTCCTCCCCTCCCTCCACCCCCCCTCCCTCCCCTCCTCACCCCTCCTCCCCCACCCCTCCTCCCCTCCTCCCCCCACCCTCCTCCCCTCCCCTCCCCCTCCTCCCTCCCCTCCCCTCCTCCCCTCCCTTCCCCTCCCCCTCCTCCCCTCCCTCCACCCCCCTCCTCCCCTCCCTTCCACCCCCTCCTCCCCTCCC